GGGCTGCAGGTGTTTTGGGGAGCTCAGGGGCTCTGCTATCCACCTCCTCTTGGCACTCACAGCTGATTGCCCACCGGAGGACAGTGGTGAGGAGAAGAGCTCCCACTGTGACCTGACCTTCGAGGACATCATGCCAGCAGTGAAGACTGTCATCAGGGCTGTGAGGTGAGACCATCCCCTCCTGTGTCCCTCAGCATACACAGACCCCCCCAGGCACCCCCAGTGCCCTGGAGCCAGCCCAGGTCTCCCTGCAGGATCCTAAAGTTCCTGGTGGCCAAGAGGAAGTTCAAGGAGACTTTGCGTCCCTACGACGTCAAGGACGTCATCGAGCAGTACTCGGCTGGACATCTGGACATGCTGGGCAGGATCAAGAGCCTGCAGACACGGTGAGGTGTCCTGGAGGTCCCAAATCACCTGGAGAGGTGATGGGCAGTTCCCTGGGTCCTCCACCACAACGTGGGGTGCTCGTTGTGATGGTTGGGACACACTCACAGAATCCCTTGCGGTGTCACAAGTAGTGACAGGTTCTGTCCCTTCCCTCCCTGCCAGTGTGGACCAGATCGTGGGCAGGGGAGGCCTCACTGGGGACAAGAAGCTGCGGGAGAAGGGGGAAAAACCAGCACTGGAGACAGAGCTGGTGGATGAGCTCAGCATGATGGGACGTGTGGTCAAAGTGGAGCGGCAGGTGAGGAGGGAACACCCCCAGGGAACGTGTCACTGTCCCTTTGGTACTCACAGGCTGAGGAACCTCAGCCCTGCCCTTCCCCCCTTGCAGGTGCAGTCCATCGAGCACAAACTCGACCTGCTGCTTGGCCTCTACTCCCAGTGCCTCCGCAAGGGCTCCACGAACTCCTTCAGCCTGGCTGCAGTGCGGGTTCCTCCCTGCGAGCCTGACATCACCTCTGACTACCACAGCCCCGTGGACCACGAGGACATCTCGGTCTCTGCCCAGACCCTGAACATCTCCAGGTCTGCCAGCACCAACATGGACTGAGTGGGAGGCAGCAGGATGGATCCTGCCTGCGTGGGATGGGATACCAGGGGCAGCGTGGCATCGCCAGCCCCATCGAGCTGCATCCCTCACCGTGTTACTTGAACCAAGTCTTCCTCCATGGGGGCATGGCTGCAGCAGGGTGCCTGCTCTGGGGGTGCACTGTGGCATGGTCAGACCACATTCCTGGGAATCTCCTGCCCTTCCTGGGGGATGAGACCACCCCCAGCTCCTTGGAGTGCTCCCAAACCGTGGTGAGGATGCTCCAGGTTGGCCCTGTCTCCTGGGGCTTGACTTGTGCCCCAGCCCCATCCCTCAGGACATGTCCAGCTCCCCAGTGGGCCCCCAAGAGCCAAGCTGGGGCCACCACCAGCTATGCAAGGTCCCATCTCCCTTCTGCTG